AAAAAATGAATTTAGGAATGCCTGTAAATTTTAGCAAATATACCTATATAGCTTAATAAACGTAATCACAGTTGTGAAAAAAGGTTTGAGGACATGGACATGGTTCTGCCTAGCGCAGAAAAAAAAAATCTTTATATATAATCCACGATCCTGCACTCACATTTGTAGTATAAGTGCCACGGTGCTCTTTCAGCCAAATCAACATAAATCTCCACAAAGAAATGCACAAGCTGGGCTTTTGGAAGAAAATTATTTGTGTCAAATCAAATGAACATTCACTCATGCACAGACTGATACACATACATTCACCTTCATTCACATCAGTAGACTTACAGAAACACAAACGCAATACATATAGACACATTAATTCACACAAAGAGCAACTGCATACCCATGTGGACAGAGATATTTAATGAGACAGACACATTTATGCACAGCAGTGATGAGGTCATCTCAGGGGGCTCGGTCGCGCTCTTAAAGCGCCCAGCACTGACCGGGCCCCCTTACAATCCATATCCATCAGGTGACCCTGACAGCATGGGCCACCCGATGGACCCCTTGATTGGCGGCCCCGGCCGCAAAAAATGGCGGCAGGTACCCTGTCCCTGGCCCCCTGGAGTGACGGGCCCGGTCGCAGCTGCGACCCCTGCGACCGCGGTATGTACGCCGCTGCCTGTATCACAACTCAACTTTGAATTCTATGTGTCGTCTTGCTCAGAAATGCTTCAGGCAGGTTCTCCCGAAAGCTTGTTAAAGTCTGTTAGTCCAATAAAAAAGGTATTACAAGATACAAATTGTATCAGTTTTTTATATCTACATCACTGGACTAATATGGCTACAATGTCTACTTACATACATATAATTATACACACACACTATACAGCTCTTCAGAATACACTAACATGACAAATAATAAAATGGCATACTATAAATACTTACTGGTGCCAGGTCACAGAATTTATTATTTTACCTCCCGTTCTTAAAAAGCTGCAAAGAAATTAAAAAAAGAGGAATGTAAATGACAGAAATGTGAGCACCATATTGTCCTACTTTTAATAATGAAGGATTGTCACACAGCTAATGTTTTGGGAATAATACAATATGTGTCCATGGGGGAAAGTTATGTTAAACATTCAAAGTGATCACATTTAAGCTGTAAAGCGCAATCAAATATGCACTCTTTTACAAATATAGTAGATTCACATAATGATTCAGTAAAAGAGCACTATAGACACCTCAATAATATTAGAAAATAAAAAAGGTTGTTGAAATAGCAGGGTTTGGGCATTTTAGATTACAGGTCTGGGCCCCCTTTACATTTCATTAAATAACTCTTTACACACGTTAAATCCAGTACCAAGACAGTGTCTTCAGAGTAACCCAATCCGCCTCTCTGATGTCAGAAGACTTTTTGACATTTGTCCATTAAATGCTTCTCAGAGATAAGTATTCCGAATAACAGCAACCCCCGTAATGCATCAATTAAAATCTTTTTACAGAGAATGGAATCTATAGCTTCTCTGTGAAAAGCATGATTGAATATTCAAAGTCCTCATGCAATGTGTGAGGACGTCAAGAACCGAGCTTGTTCTTACAGGGGAAGCACCATCGAATGGCTGTCAGTGTTTAACAGCCACTAGAGGTGTGTTGAACCCCTCAATGTAAACATTGCTGTATCTCCTAAACTTCATCTCAGCTTATAATGGTTCTTATTTAGAATAGTATTTTTTTAGAATGTCACAACAGACTTTAATACAGCTTTGAGAAACTGACATTTGTAATTCTGATACAACTGTAAAACTATTTAAAGGGATACTCCAGTACTCTAAAGCACTTCAGTTTTGTGAAGTACTTTTGAGGTTAATTTCATGTCTCTCAAGGATTATTTTATATTTAAAAATGCCACTTTAAATCCTCTTAGTAACATCACCTAGCTGTCAAGTAGATAACCTTGGAGGGTTTCCTCCCTCCCTTTGAATTGTAATAAAGTGCTTCTCAGAGAGGCATCTGACTAGCCACAAAGCACTAGTAATTATACACATACCTACAATCAGGAAGGTGGGAATGGGTCATGAAAACAAAGGGATGACATCCTGGCTGGCTTACTGACAGGACCATGGGGAAAGAGCTGCTGAAGACCATTCTGCATGACCCTAGTGTCTCCTTCACAGTGCAAGTACATCTGATGATGTGTTTATGCTATCCTGCCCCTGTCCCTGGACAGTTCCTTGATGTCCCTGGATGTGGGACACCAGGGAACTACATTGTTGGCTGTGGGGTACAGTAATCTAAAATCAAATAGAAACCCTTAAATAACATCATATACTTATTTTAAATAGAGTATTCCTTTAATCAAAGTGAACATTTCCAGCCTATCTCCCATCTATTTATTTTGATGGAAAGGACTAGACAGAGAGGGTTAGTTCACTTAAAGAACTGCAGTGATTTGAAAAACAGTCATGGTTATTTACTAAAGTAAGGATTCAAAATTCCTTTTAAAATGAAGATAAAAAAAAAAGCAGAGCTTGAAGAAAAAAAAAGTTATGCTTTCAGTCCAGCTAATATGCCCATAAATTTGAAGTTCACGGGGAGAAAAGGTGGCTGCAAAAAGCAGGTGTGTGGCGTGACAGCAAACAGAGATGTGACATAAAACTTTGCACTTTGAGAGCCTAGCAGCTAGAAAAGATTTTCTCAATCAAATGACAGCTTGATGGATGTCCATGATTGATGCTCTCTCCACTCTCCACGGCAGAACTTAGAACCTCCATATGCGCTGATGTACAGGCTATCCACACAGAACTACATGGCGTAACGGAGCGCGTAGGCTAAGTGGAGGAGGAATGTGACACCAAAATTGCAAGACTAGAGGGGCAGGAAGGACCTGACCTAGAAGTCAAGGGGGACTAAGTGGGTAAAATGGGCATAATCCAGAACAAACAACTAGAGAAATAGCGAAAACTGTTTCTGAAAAAAAAAATCCCAGGTAAAAAAGCCACCTGGGGTATTGACCATCAAAAACAGGGAAATTACCCACAACTCCATCTAATTGGTAAAGGCACAAATACTTCATCTTTATTATACAAATAGCATTATGCAAAAAAAACGACACACACAGTGAAACAACTAAAATAATAGTGAAAAAAAGTGCGGTTGGAAAATTAAAAAAGGAGAAGTTAGTCTACATAGCCTGCTTAGTCTGTCCTATGTATACTAAGATTGGAACCCCATAACATGAGGAAAAAAAAGCAGACACTCTAATGCCTTATGGAAGTAACAATGTAGATTGAATAAATGTATAAATATAGCTATTGGAACAATGTTGCAACAATCTATGGGGGTCCAGTAAGAACAGCAAGGTAGGATACAGGTTTAAAAAAACCTTCAATGTATTCATAGGATAATAAAATATCCAATATAGGTGTAGGAAAAAGGTAGGTATGGGAAAGGGAGGTGGGTATTAGTGTGGAGACAAAAAGCGGCTGCTTGAGAAAGATTCCAGCCAATTATAGTAAATTGAATAATCTGATTAAAGGAACACAATGAGGGTAAAGAGCAGTAGTAATTTTCACACCTCCACCTTATTAATCAAATAACTAACAGTTCAGACACTAAGAGGTGAGGGTAAATATGTCCCTCGAGTACTAAATTGATGTAGATAAAGTATCTGGGATTGTTGCAGGCAGCACAAAGCCTAAAATTAGTGCTGTATCTAGGGAGCACCCTAATCAGGATGAAAGCATGCCCCAGCCACTTCCCTATTAAGATACCGGTTGATACGACTACACATGAAGCTTTCCTCCCATAACCGAGAGAGTATACAAATGTCCCAGTCAGTCCCAAATTTGCTAATGGAAATCAATGTAGCTAATAGATAAACCCTGCCTCCCTATACCTTACCCTACATCTGGCTAGCTGCTTCGAGGCAGCTTCAAAGTAAGTACTAACAAGCTACATAGAAGACCCTATTTAAAAGGTAAAACAGCCTAACAGCAGCATCTTAGTTCGATGCGCGTTTCGGCGCTATAGTGCGCTTTTGTCAAGAGCGTTGTATTGAGAAGATCACGCCGGCTATTTAAATGTTAACAGTCCGCCCCTCAGATGACATCATACAGCTAATCCGATGCGGCGATGTCAGAGGTGCGGACACGGCCATCTTTAAAGCGGGGCACCTGCCCCGGGCCCCACTTACTCCGTGGGCCCCGCTGTCCGAAAAAAAAATAAAAAAATTATTTGCCCCATGGGTCCGCCGGTGCTGCGGCTGCATCGGGAGCCCACACACTAAGAGGGCCCCCATGTTTTACTGCAGGAGGCTGGTAGGAAGTGACTGCTGTGAGTCACTTCCTCCCAGATAGAGTGAAGCCGCGCGGGAGGGAGGAGGAGGCCGTCAGGAGGGAGCTGGAGTGCCAGAGCCTCACACTCCCAACTACCTCAGCCTGCAACTGGACCCCGGGTGAACACATAAAGTAGGGCTGGAGGGTGGCTTTGTATTTGTGTGAGTCAGTATGTCTGTGTGTGTCTTAGTATGTGTGTGAGTATGTCTGCCAGAGTTTCTGTGTGTGTCAGCATGTCTCTGTCTGTATTAGTATGTGTGTGAGTATGTGTGTCTTAGTATGTCTGTGTCAGTATATCTGTCAGGGTGTCTGGTCTGTGTGTGTGTGTGTGTGTCAGTATGTCTGTCAGGGCGTGTGTGTGCGTGTCAGTCTGTCTGT